GCTATTTAAGCCATTGGTTTGGAAACATATTCAAAAACTCACGGTACGATGGACTTCCTTTCTTTTCTGCCTCCCCTTTGGCCCGTCAGAGGGACCCCAGAAAGACTGTGCGGGCGCTCAGCAAAAAGCATCCTTCAACGAGAAAAGGCTGGAGGGAAAGCACGGTGCCCCCACTTGCCCCTCGCCCCAGTAAAAGCACCCCAGTTTGGCTGGGGTGGAATTCCCGGCTGTTTTCTGCAGGCAGGCAAATAAAACCCTCTCCGTTCCCTCCATTGCTCAGGGAGCCCTGGGAGAACGTGGCCCTTTCTTTCTTCTATGGCTCTCCGCATAATTCGGCATCAATGTCCCCCTTGTTTAAGTAAACCCCATTCCTGCCAACAACCCCATCTTCCGTCTCTCCCTGCCTCACCCCAAAGTGCCAGTCCTGGGATTCATGCTTTCTGTTTTCTCTTCAATTTCCCTGAAAACCATCACCACTGCTTTCACAGGGGACAGAACATTGTTTGTTTGTTTTTAGAGGCTGCCTTTCTTGTGACAAGATGGCTCAGAAGAGACATTTAACAACACATGGCCCTCCCTTTCCCCATAGAACAACTGAATAAGGGTTTTTTTTTGCCTCGTTTCCTCTGATTTCTTTTAAAAGATCCATCTGGCCCTCCCCTACTTTCGCAGGAGCCGCCTGACAGGGCCACAGAAGGGTTGAAAGACTCTCGGGTTTTCGTCCGAACTGTTGGTTATTTTTGCTGCCCGAAACTCAGGCACCCGGAAAGACAGTCCGGACCGACTCCTTGCATCAAGAAGCAGGCAGGAAAAGGTCAGGATCCGCCACGCAGTGAAGCAAAAAAGTAGCAGGTAAGATCACTCAAACTCTCCTCTCTCACCAACCTTCTCTCTATGGGTCAATTTCAGATGATTACCTGGCCCAGGTTGACTCTGGAACGGTGAGCATCCTCTCTGACGTCCAGCGTGGCGCTTCTCCTATCGCCGTGGCAACCCCAAACTAACACAAAAATCCAAAGCAGCCGTTCATCCTCGGGCTGCGCAGCCAGGTTTGGTGGGCACGCTAAGGAGGAAAAGGGCGTCTGATCCGGAGAAGAAGGAAAGACGGAAACACGCCAGAAAGGGAGAGAAAACAGCGACAGGGTGAGCACGCACCAAATGCTTTCACTGCCGTTTAAAACCCTTCCCAGCAATTTGACAGGACGCCTAGAAAGAAAAATCTCCCCAAGACGGCCATGCTCTAAGCCACCAGACAGAAAGGAAAAAGCCTCCAGGTGGCTTCATGAACAACCCCCTTGTAAGGTAGGTGCAGACGGACGACACAAAGCAGTTCAAGCCCACCCTCGTCCCTGGTGCTTTTGGTCAAAGGCTTCTCCGGCTGCTTCTGTCTGCTGTGCTGATGACTCCCTCGGTTTCG